TTCTCTATCTCTTACACACCCAACTCTCATATGCATAATTCTCTCTATCTCATATATATATATATATATATATATATATATATATATATATATATAGATCTCCTATCTCTGTAATTTTATAAAATGAGAAAATATTTGGATGATAAATTTTTTTTCCAGGTTGTAGACATTTGAAGCCAAACTAATCACCCATTAAAAAACACAAGTGAAACCAGTCGTACCAAAAAACAATTCAAAACCAAGCTAATCACCAATAAAAAAAAAATAACAAGTGATACCAATTGCACCCAAAAAAAATAAAAAAATTCAAAGTCAAGCTAATCACATATAAAAAATAACAAGTGATTAAATTTATAATTATGTTGTGTTATTGGGTTGAATGGTGATACATTAATACCTCTTATAAATGAGTAAGATTTTATTTATAGCTTAAAAATTATAAATTTTATTGGGTTCCGTTAGTATTTGTTTTTTTCTGAGGTATTATATATGTGGTATTGTTTTGGGAAGTTTTTTTGTACATTTTTGTGATAGTTCTATTAATATGGAGGATATGTTTGACAATATATTTTAAGTCATTTTAAAAGCATTGGTATAANGTCAAGTGCCTTCAGGCACGAGCAATTACTAGTATATAATAAGAGAGCTACCTTTTTTTGTTTTAAACTTTTCATGGATAGTTTGAAGATTATTGATCTAATGATCCTAATTGGATTTTCATTCTTTTACAACTCGAAGACTTTTATCTATCATATAACTCTCTATCTCTTACACACCCAACTCTCATACGCATAATTCTCTCTATCTCATATCTCTTTTACACACACACACACACACACTATATATATATATATATATATATATATATATATATATATATATATATATATAGATCTCCTATCTCTGTAATTTTATAAAATGAGAAAATATTTGGATGATAAATTTTTTTTCCAGGTTGTAGACATTTGAAGCCAAACTAATCACCCATTAAAAAACACAAGTGAAACCAGTCGTACCAAAAAACAATTCAAAACCAAGCTAATCACCAATAAAAAAAAAATAACAAGTGATACCAATTGCACCCAAAAAAAATAAAAAAATTCAAAGTCAAGCTAATCACATATAAAAAATAACAAGTGATTAAATTTATAATTATGTTGTGTTATTGGGTTGAATGGTGATACATTAATACCTCTTATAAATGAGTAAGATTTTATTTATAGCTTAAAAATTATAAATTTTATTGGGTTCCGTTAGTATTTGTTTTTTTCTGAGGTATTATATATGTGGTATTGTTTTGGGAAGTTCTTTTGTACATTTTTGTGATAGTTCTATTAATATGGAGGATATGTTTGACAATATATTTTAAGTCATTTTAAAAGCATTGGTATAAATATTTTTGGACCATTTTGTTTTTCAAGATGGGCAATTTCTTGCGATTTTTGTTTGTGATATGTAGTGCCTTTAGGCACAAGCAATGACTAATACATATATAAACATTAAAAATAATAAAATAGTAACATTCAAATAAAAAAAAATTAGTAACATTCAAAACAAAAATAATAGCATTCAAACACAACATATACTAAAATTTAAAAATAAATTATAGTAACATTGTTTGAAAAAATAATAGTAGTAATANATTTTTTCCTGAGGTATTATATATGTGGTATTGTTTTGGGAAGTTCTTTTGTACATTTTTGTGATAGTTCTATAAATATGGAGGATATGTTTGACAATATATTTTAAGTCATTTTAAAAGCATTGGTATAAATATTTTTGGACCATTTTGTTTTTCAAGATGGGCAATTTCTTGCGATTTTTGTTTGTGATATGTAGTGCCTTTAGGCACAAGCAATGACTAATATATATATAAACATTAAAAATAATAAAATAGTAACATTCAAATAAAAAAAAATTTGTAACATTCAAAACAAAAATAATAGCATTCAAACACAACATATACTAAAATTTAAAAATAAATTATAGTAACATTGTTTGAAAAAATAATAGTAGTAATATGTTCAACAAAAATAGTAACATGCACAACTAGAAATATAATAATATGATCAATAAAAAATAGTAACATGGAACATTGAACAAAATTAGGGGTCAAACAACATGGACGACTGATGATGCATTCAAACAAAAAAAATAGTAACATTCAAAAACAAGAAAATAATATTCAAAAAATAGTAACATGTTCACCATAAAAAAATAGTAGCATACACAACTAGAAATATAGTAATATGATCAATAAAAAATAGTAACATGGAACATTAAACAAAATTAGGGGTCAAACAACATGGACAATTGATGATGCATTCAAACAAAAAAAATAGTAACATTCAAAAACAAGAAAATAATAATATTCAAAAAATAGTAACATGTTCACCATAAAAAATAGTAACATGAAACATTAAACAAAATTGGGGGTCAAAACTAGTAAATGCAATATTTTGTTTATAGACAAAAGGCGCCCATTTCCATTGATTTGTAACTTGAACAAATGAAAATAGTATTTGCATGAACTTGAACAAATGAANTAATATTTTATTTATAGACAAAAGGCGCCCATTTCGATTGATTTGTAACTTGAACAAATGAAAATAGTATTTGCATGAACTTGAACAAATGAAATCATTATTTATAGGAAGCTTGCTGGATCTAAATATCTGATCATACCAACTGCCAGAAATTTCAAAAATTTATACATCTTCAAAAAAAATTAAATAAATCCAAAAAAATCAAACAATGATAATCCAAAATTATTACCACTAGAATTCTTCAACAGGGTCGAAAGTGTAAACCTTGCGAAGCGAAGAGTCCCAAGTGACGCCTTGTTTGGGCTTCGACTGGTTGTCGAACCAAAACACCCACTTCCTTTCCATAGCCATCTTGAGACTCGGTTATTCTGACAACGGAATCAATGGCGTTCGCGGGAGTCTCCACATACAGAGATAGCACATTAGAATTCCAATCTCTCTTGGATAAGTTGAAGAATATGGGAGGAACAACAACTGACTCACACGAATCACAGAACCTTTCAAGTTGGTGTTTCTCTCTTTAGCATTAACAGAAGATGAATAATATCTAATCTTAAATTTGAAATTTAAATTTTATGGAAATATATTATTGGATGGTTAAACGTTGAATACTAATTTTAATATTATAGGAACGGCACTTTGGAGTTGTTAAAAAATTTTAGACTTGACTATTTAGTAGTAGAATTAAAAATAGACTTATTCTTAAATAAATTTTTTTAATAGATTAAACTCATTATAGGTCCTTTAAGGAGGATTCAACTCCAATTTTTACTTATTTTTAACTATATCAAAGCTTCACACTAAGTGGCAAGTGAGCTTGAGAGGCTGCACCATTATAGCGCCGACGGGTTGAACATTCAATCTGCTGTGAGATGTCTTTTATATGTTGGGATAGTTGGTTTTGAGTATCTTTTGTAAAACTTATTTGACTTTAAGTACTACATTCAAACTTATATTCTATTAAATCATCTTTTGTCATCAAATAGTTTTTAATAAGTACACATTTTAGAATATTTTAAATTTTTTTTTAATGTATTTTCATAATTACCCTTATCACAAATATTATCTATCATTGTTAGTTTCAATGTTTTCAAATATAACAAGTTATAACTTGAAAATTGTGCTAGCATTAAATTATTTTTCTATCTCATATGTGTGTGTGTGTGTGTATATATATATATTAATATTAAACAGTAACACGTTCAACAAAAAAATAGTATTATTAAACAATAACACGCTCAACAAAAAAATAGAGTGATACAATATGTGAGTATTTATTCTGTTGTGGGGGTGTAACTCTATTACGATGATTAAATTTTTATTTTGCATGTTACTGTTTAATGTTACTATTTTTTTGTTGAGCGTGTTACTGTTTAATATATATATATACACATAATTTTAATGATAGCACAATTTTCAAGATATGAGTTGTTAATACTAATACAATTCCCAATTTAGGAATCGTTAGTTTTTTCAAACTAGTTTTGACTAAATATAACTATCGATGGTATTTTAGACAATGTAGATCAAAATAGACTAATCCCTAGATAATTTTTTTGTATGTACTTAAACTCAAATAAATCTACAAAAAGAAACTGGCCTCCCTAAGCCCCTTAAATGTTTCGAGTCCAATGATAGTTGCTGGCCCCACTAACTACCATGACCTTGTTCTTGCACAAATTGTTAGATTGAAGCACTTATCATTGGACCAAAAGTCACAACTATTAATGAAAGTGTAACTTCTTCCTTTTTAACTAGATTAAAGCTCGGCACTAAGTGGCAGGTAGGCATAAGAGGCTGCGCCAATGGGCTGGCCGAACAGTCCACTGTGAGACATTTTTTAGATGATCCGAATCCAAAAGGCAGTTCATAAGCCAACAAATGAACTTATATGCCTACTATAAACCATGATCCAAATTGTAGTATAATTGGTATAGGATAAAGCGATAGACCAATTATTATTACCAGTATGGATTGAAATTGAAATATATTTTCCAATTTCGTCGGATTTTTTTCCCAAAGCAAACATGCCCTTACTAACTAGAACTCTCAATATCATCCATTTTCCCAATGGAGTGTAGAAACCATTACATCAAGGGCCTAAAAGTGTCATATATGAAATGTCCAACTGATTGATTTCGGGAAGACAAATGTATTTCCTCTATGCTCAACACAGGAGAATGGTAGGCAGATGTGATTTGTTTCTCCTCTACAAACCAAGAGAAAGAAACTACTGAAGCCATCCTCAGAAAGAACTCATTTTAGCCATCCCTAGCATCTAAGCATCCCAGACCACTATATATATATATATATATAAGCCTCCTCTACAAACATATCAGCTAGTTATCCTAGAGGAACATGTGTGAATTATGGCTCTTGGAGAGGGAGAGAGAGAGAGAGAGAGGCTTCTGCATATTGCAAACATATAAACATAATGAATTTGTTCTATGTTTCCTTTTTTCTTCTAATTCATAACGTGATCCAGAAAGGAAATCAGGGTGGGTTAGTGTTCAACCACACCGTCAAGAGGATGCACTATACAGAATGAACATATAGACGATATATACAATCTCTCTTTCTCCGTTTGCCCTTTTTTCATTTTACAACAAAAACAAAAACACGTGCAAATGAATCAACACCCGTGTAGACAATCAAAACCTGTCAATGAGCTTAGGATCACTACCGCAGAAACGTTGGCAACTGGAATCTTCGCCAACTCCATTTGCGAACACCTCTTCACTCTCTCACTGTCTCTGTCTTCCCTACCTAACTAATTCACAGTTAAAGGAAAAAGAAGACAACCCCACAAAACCACTTCCCTCAGTAGAGACTAGTTGCATTAAATACATTTTCACTTCCCACTCCCTGTTTTTCGCTTCCCATCAGCAGAAATCGACTGCCTCTCAGTCTTGTTAAATGTTGAATTACCCCCAATAGATAGCCTCCTTGATGGTGGTGCTGGAATTAGGCTCCTACTGAAGACAAAATTCAGATTCAAAAATCTGTTAGCACATACCAAAATGACCAGCTAAGAGCATTAAGTGGATGCTTGTTTATACTGAATTAACAGGGAACTATTTTTAATCAATTTTGTCACCACCTTGTTTTGAGTATATGGTACATAGTGGGTTCGTAGTTATTATGCATGAAAACCTGAGGAATGTCTTAATGAGAATGAGAGCTTCCCTTGTTAATGGTTCAAAGAATTGGTGGAAAGCATGAAGAACTCAAATAAAAGGTTTTATGCAGCAGCAATCTGAAAGAAAAGAAAAGCAAAGCAGTTGCGAATCATGATACCTTATTTCTGGTCTCTTGGTTTGCTTTGGACTAGGCCTCTTAATTTTAGATGCCACCCCATTTGAGACGTTCATGACTTCGGGAGTGTTGAGTTGCAAAGTGAAGTCCACCTCAGAAGAATCGCTAGTTGCAGCCTCCAAGTCATCAGAATCACTGATGATAGCCATCTCATGACGATTCCTATTAACATCATGATCTTGGCTTTCTTTTCTGTTGCCTGAAAATCTGCTTACAGATTTGTCCGTGTCTATCTTTGAAGAGTCAAGTGAATATCTCTGACAGAACATCTCGGGCGACCGACTGCTATCTTCTTCCCAGCCTCTTAAATGTTTTTCATATTTGGTCACACCGTCTTGCTTATTCACCATGACCTTGTCAATCCAATTGCCAAAACCTATTTCTTTCTTGTCGTCCTGCAATCTAGGACTGCCAGCGGGTGGCCAGGGAGGTGAATTAATTAAAAAGTTTTGGAGATCAAAGCTTTGCCTTCTTACCTTTGATCCATAGTTGTTTCTGACCTGCAAGCCAGAATGAAAAATGGGAACTCTTATTCAACCAAATTTTTCATGGGCATTTTGACTTGTGAGCAACATAATAATCAAGTAATCCATATTTCGTTTCTAATTAGCAGATAAGTTGAGTCCTCCGATTTTGTCATTTCATTCTTAATATCTTAACTATCCTCACCACATTTGATTTTAGGAATCTCAGGAAATGAGGCCATCTTAAGTTAANCCCATATTTCGTTTCTAATTAGCAGATAAGTTGAGTCCTCCGATTTTCTCATTTCATTCTTAATATCTTAACTATCCTCACCACATTTGATTTTAGGAATCTCAGGAAATGAGGCCATCTTAAGTTAATTTTGGCCATATCATCTTTGTCCAAGCAAAATTAGTACCACTGCCATTGAATTACAATTACTGTCATTGCTAGTTCATTCTTGAATTGAGATACTGCCACAGCCATTTTCAGGGTTGCAGCAGACTGAAAGAAATTAAAATGAAAGGTAATTCTCAATTCAATGTTATAATACCTCTACGTTGCCAACATCCTCCATGGGTTGCATGGAATTGCCAGACATATCTCCTGCACTCTGCCAATTAGGATGTGAAGGAGAATTGCCTTCAAACATCACACCGAGTCTTTCAGCGCTGTTGGATCTGGACTGCTGAAGGTGACCTGTTCCCTCTTTTCTAGCTAAAGCCGCCTTGAGACTAGCAATCTGAAAGTGCACAATAAGCCTAATTGTCATTCGCTTTTAACATGAGTGAAGAATAACTTATAAAAATGAGAAAGGAGCTTCTTAAGAGTAGTAGGCAAAAATTAATACTTATATAACAAAACCAATGGCCTGCTGAAATTTTTGCTAATAACTATGGCTCGTATCATCAGACAAAAAAAGAAAAAAGGTTAAAAAAAATGAACAACTTGTTCTCACTAAAATTCTTAGGCAAGGAAAAAAAAAACAATAGAACCTCTCTCTGGCCCTTCTTGAAGTCACAATGCCAAACCGACAGGGTCATTAAAGAGCATAAGCACCTGTTCTTTTAACTTCCTGACATCAGGACTATCTTTATTTGCTTGAGCAACACCAAGCTCGACAGTGGACACCCGTTCAGCAAATTTAAGTGTGCTAAGTGTTTCTCCAGTAGCATCAGGATCCGGACTGATATGAACAAACATCAGCGCCTTAGCTTGCCCTCCTGATAAATTCAATGGCCAAGAACTTAATTGGAATGAAATAAACGAGCAAAGAATGCCAATGCAGACTAGAGGAGGTAAACTCTTACCAAGTGAATCTTGAAGCAACTGTGTAAGCTTACTGTTTCTATAGGGAACATGTGAATTCTTTTGCCCAAGAGAAGATATCACATCCCCTAAAGCAGAAAGAGACTTGTTGATATGTTGTGCCTCTTTTAATCTATCTCCTACCACCTCAGATTTGTCAACCCTTTCACTTCCTGCTAGATCAACCAAATGCAAACAACCGTGAAGAATTGTCCCTGATGTCAAGTCTCTTCCTCGAACATGAACCTTCACGCAACTGCAAATGTATTATAGTTCTTATAGCATGAGTATGATCATTGTCTTCAAAATAAGGCAAGTCATAGAAAATAAGGTTGTAATTTATAATTAGTAAACTATCATTTTCCCGATTTCATAAAACATACTTGAATTGCCAATTACAGTCTTGAAGGTGTAAATAAAAAGATTATGTGGTCATATTTTAACCATCTAAAAAACATGGATAAGAAAAAAACAGCAAAACTTCTACCTGTGAGAACGACTACTCCGATCGTTCATGGCTGTGGCACACACTGCACGATTTTTTAGCCCAAGGTTCACTAAATAAAGAACATCCGATGTTGATGCAACTGGTACAAGATTTGCATCTGGTACACTAATTCCATTCTGAGAACTGTTACGAATTTCTAATGTGTTTAGTAGTTAAGAAACACTGTAAGTATAACATTAATTGAACAAAAAACAATGATGCTAAAAAGTAAACAACTATTATTTAGGATATCTTTTGTTGAGACCATCTACCGCAAGGAGATCCCTAACTTGCTCATTGTAAATTTCAATCATCTGAACAGAAATATCATATACAGTGGTGTCCGTTCTTTGTTTGGAGATGAGAAATAAATCGCTTAATGCCCTGTAGTTTACTCCTAGATTTTCTTGTGCAAGATCCCTGGGTCCAGTCTGCAGATAAATTGTTGCAGATGTCAAAACCAATTAAATTGACATTCAAACATGAAAAAAAAATATGTTTAATGTATAAATTCATCTTGCCTAGGTTGCTTGGCCATGCTTGAGATATCTTACCATGGTATAAGTTTTCCCGGATCCTGTTTGACCATATGCAAATATGCACACATTGTAACCATCCAGGACAGACCGAATCAAAGGCTGGGTGTCTGAAAATACCTCTTCTACAAGAAGAAGCAAAAAGATACAAATAAGTTATGCTCGGAAGAAATTCTGAAAGGTGGGATATCCATAAGGACAAAAGCTATTTGGGAACCTTAGTGACCTTGGGTTGCAGATGGACCAAAAACTCTATTGAAAACGAATGATCTCCGTCCATCTTTTCCATACTTTATCGGGGTGGTAATCATAATGTTTCCCTCATCAATATGAGCCACAGTGCTCAAACAATTTGGTTGACCGGGCAAGAATGGTCGCACTCGACAGTACACCCTAATGCTGCCTATTTTAAACATGTGGAAGTAAGCATTCGTCGGTACTAAGAACCATCACATGTTAATACGTTACATTACGATTATAATGAAGTGTTTATGCCGCTGACAATCTTACCTTTGAGGTCTTGCACTTGATTGTATAACTTTCGGTTTTCCTCCAGAACTTTCTGATACCCTGAAGCAGCATGAGCTAGACTGTGCAGATGTTTACCTATTATGGAAACTAAACTATTGGATCACCATCGTCTATTTATGATCTCTACGACATGCAACAATTTGATATGAAATTACACCTAGCTTGTTGACCTCCTCTTGATATTCCTTTTGCAGACATTCCATATCAGCTTTTGCAATATGAAGAGTGTGTTTCAGTACCTGTACAATGAGCATCAGTTCACTAATCACTCCCATGTAACAAGTTATGGATTTATGTGGTCATCCACACATCATACTACTTAAGAGTACCTGTATTCCTCTTTGCTGTTGTTCAACCAAGATCTGCTGCTTTGAAACCTGTCCTTTTGATCCCTCATCAAAAGTATCCTTTTTATTATAAGTTTGCCCTTTTACTATCTGAGAGGTTCCTTTGTCTCCCACCTCAATTGTTTAATACACGAAAAATATGCCATGAAATCAGAAGTGTATGTCATGCAGTTGCATTTATAATTCACACAAAATAGACATGCATGCCAACATTATCTAAACATGCCGATTTATTGCTTGCATTTGGGATCTCTTTATTGTAAATATAAAACCGCACCTTTATATCCCCAGAAGCAGATTTTGGGAGAACCTTAGAATAAGAGACATCCGTATTTTTTGGAGTTGTTTTCATCTGTTAAATTGACAGAACACAATGTGCAAAACAATAAGAAAACTTTTAAGGACACATTTTCTGACAGCTATTCTGTTGCAAGACAAGAAAAATCACTTTCTATCTATTGTGGAGAAAACAAGGAGTAAGCAATTAACATAGTGAACAGGTCAGCAAAGAGCTTTGCATGGCAGAATTTATTGCTGTGTTGAGAGAGTGAAAAGCATATTGACAAATACATCTGCTTACCTGTTCCGTTTGGCTTGCTAACCGATGCTCAAATTCCTCCATAACTTTTCTTAGCATATTCTCTACAATCTGTAATTAAAGAGAGTGATTTCTTACATTCAGAACAGTTTATTTGTAATCAACAGAATCAAGGAATATTCTAGTCAAACGAGGATAAGAAGCGCCATGGTTCACTACATTGACCAAATTTAGGCCTACAGTTGAAAGTGTAATGTAGACATTACTAAAACCATAGGAAGAAGTGTTGAATCAGATGAACATTTTTAATTAATTGCATCCACCGGTGCCATAAAACATGTTCTCTGTGGGAGGTGATTATTATTGTTATATGTTCTCCACTTTGTGTAACAAATGTAATGTCCGATCCCCTTACTATGCACAACCATATGGCGACTTCACGAAAGCTTCCATCCTAAGTGGGAAAAGTAAAGATAATTTTGCAAATTTGACAAGCTTTAAGAGAACTTACTACTGGAATTTCTTCTTGTTTCTTGTCCAAAAGAATTTCATGGACACGCATGTTCAAGGAGCTAGGGTTACCCTGTAAATTATAATCCAAAAAGACTAAAGAGTCATTCGTCTAGCTCTACAAAGAGTACAAAGAAAAGTAAAACAGGATCACTAACCATTTCATCAAGGTCATTCCCAAGATCACTGCTCAAGACTGGATCACTAAACAAACTATCCATAGATTTCTCACTGATTGATGAGGTCCTTGAAATGGAACGCATAAATGGCTCAGAATTTTTTCTTACAAATTGCTTACTGGAGCAAGGGGGTTTCAGATTTCCACCAAATTTCCATGATCCATTTCCACCTCCTTGTTTCCAGTCACTGTATGATTTCAGTTCTAGTACACAATTTACTATTCTTGAAGATTTCCCTCCCTAAAATTCAGAACATGGAAGATAATTGGCACAAAAGAAATGCAACTTTTAGAATGCAGTTCATCATGCAACATATGAATTTAGACAAGAATTTTCTAGTGGCAGCAAATCTCATCCACATACCTGTTCCAAATCAGAGGCTTCAAAGGTCGGAAGCCCCATTTCCTCCGCAGCGACGAGGAAGTTTCTTACATTTTCGAAATACTGGTATGCAGACAAGGCTGCCCCATCAGGAATAACTACAGATTCAGAAGGTGCTTCAACTACCTAAAAGCAAACTGACTAATTAGGGCAGTAACAAATTGAATAATAGATGATAAGGAAGAGGGAAAAAAAAATAAAATAACAGTAACTCAATTAAATCAGGGAATTGAGAACCCTACTTTAGGCACAGCATCAGGTCGAATCTTGTTGAGAACATTGCAAAGGATAATCCCACTTCTCAACCCGAGCCTGAATTCTTCTTCTGATGGCTCAGCTGGAAAATCTTTGGCTCCAACAACTCCAACTACCTTTCTTAGCCACCTGGCTGCTTCATATCTTCTCAAGGCTGAAATAAAAGAGCCCAGGCTTATGAATTCTTAAAAGCAAAATCGAGGCCAGAAAAACCCAAAGTTCTTGTACCAACATCGCTGATGACACATATTCACCAGTAAATTCTCCAAGGCAGTTCTCCCATTTGTATTTCAAGAAGTAAAAAGAGGGTGTTTTATTGGTAAAAAATGTACAAGAACCCAACCAGTTCATGCACATTAGGATATCAGAAGTATATCATTCGAAATTCAATTTAACGTCAAACAATATGCACCGAAATCCACAGACTCCAATCGTAATTCGGATGGATATTAAAACGAGAGAGAGAGAAAAAAAAAAGAAAAGAAAAATATGTGAATATGTGGAAAAAAACAAAGAACGATCAAGATAGTGTACACTTTTATATTTCAGAAAGGCAAAAGAAAAGGATGGACTTTATTGGCAAATTAAGGACAAGAACCCCAGAAGTTCATACACACTAAAAATTGAAAGTATATGATTAAAGGCCTCGAATTGTTGTCAAAATAAATATTCACCAAAAATAAAAAATAAAAAAAACTCCAATCATAATTCGGATAGATATTTAAACAAGATAGAGAAAACAACAGAAAAAATGCGCAAATATGAGGGGAAAAACAAAGAAAGATCAAGAAAGAACAATCATACAAGCTTCCTCCGCTTTTCTTGATGCCAAATCCATATCACTCAATCGTTTCCCATGCTGCTGAAGAACATTTTCCACGACAGAAGCGACAGAAAAATGCAATCTCCCCTCCATCTCCATTACTATACAACACCAAGGTAGACAGAGGAAGAAATCTGACCGTTGAACAATTCAAAATTCAAGCTTCCAGCATTTAAGATCAAACCGCCAAGAACTCAATCTTTTACTTCACAAAGAACACAATATCGATTTAGATTCTGAAGAGAATGATAACGAGGGTGTGTTAATATATAAAGGGAAGCTGTTGGGATATGAGTTTGCACTGAGAAGTAGGGTTTAGAAGGCAAGATCTATGGAGAATATAGAAAGAAACAGGGAAGAGAGAAGTTACAGAAAGAGGAGAGAGAGAAAGAAAACTGGTTTGATTCTACACTCTCTCCCCTGCCATGGCCATTTTTTGCTTTCTCTCTGTCTATTTGAATCCAACAAGCTTTCTTTCTTTTCTGTATACCGAAGCTCCTTCCGAGTCACCCGGCACGGGCCCCTGACTTACATCTTAACGGGCAATGGCCGATTTTAACGGTCTGTCTATGGTGCAGCTTTTCTTGTTCCAATTTTGCCCATTAGTTAGTTATACAAGGCATGTCAAGCGTGTCGGAGGGGTGGATTCGTGGGTTTGTGTAAAAAAAATAATATATATTTTCCTTATTATTATTAATGTGAAAATTTTAGTCATATTTCTTTTTAGTTTATTATATCTTGAAAGATATATTCTTTATTTTTTAAATCTTCACTAACACCCTTTATTAGATTAATGATATTAATTAAAATATAATTTTATTAAATTATCTATCATATGTTTTTAGAAAAACTTCATCATAAGAAATTTTTCATTTATACCCCCTCTAGATACACATATCTTTAATAAAATTCTCTTTATTTTTTAAATTTTTTATGTATTAAAATTTGAACTTATTAAAATTTATTTTTTATGTATTAAAATTCGAGTTAATTAAAAATTATATTTTTTTACGTATTAAAATTTGAGTTGTTTAAAATTCGATTCGAGCAAATTAAAATTTATTTTTAATCAGCTTAAATAATAGTTTAATTAACTCGCATTGAATTTTAATAAGTCTGAATTTTGATATATAAAAAATAACAAATTTTCATTGACTTAAATTTTAGTACATAAAAAATAAATTTTAATTGACTTGAATCGATTTTTAATTGACACAAATTTTAATAAATAAAAAAATACAAATTTTAATCGATTCGAATCAAATTTTAATTGATGCTAGAAACTCAAGTAAAGCTTAAATCGGTTCGAATTTTAATACGTAAAAAAAATTAATAGGTACAAATTTTAATACATAAAAAAAATTAAATTGGCTCAAATTTTAATACGTAGAAAAAAGAAATTTAATATGTAGAAAAATATATTTTAATAGACTATAATTTTAATCGAAATTTATGTAGAGAGATTATTTGGAATTTATGTAGGGCAATTTTGGTATTTTAGATGAATTGTTTTTTTTGTTAGAAATATTGGTTTAACGATAGGGGGTGTCAGCAATATTTAAATATAAATTATAAAAGGTGTCAGTTATGTTTGAAATAATAGAGGGAGTTTTATTGAAAATATGTTTAGGAGTGTGAATGATAATTACCCTTTATAAATTAGTGTTAAACGAATCATGTCATATCAAATTTGTGCTATATATAAATTAAATATAACAAGTATATAAATGAGACATATAATATATTTTTTTTAATTAGTTTTACATTTATTAATTGTCTCGTGTTAGATCCATACATTTACGAAACAGATGATTTAAAAAGAATTTAAATCCTTTAATTTTATGTCATGTTTGTGTTGCGTTAACGAAACGTACTATATTTACTATATTTTGATAGTAAATAATCCATAAGCTACCAGNCGATTCGAGCAAATTAAAATTTATTTTTAATCAGCTTAAATAATAGTTTAATTAACTCGCATTGAATTTTAATCAGTCTGAATTTTGATATATAAAAAATAACAAATTTTCATTGACTTAAATTTTAGTACATAAAAAATAAATTTTAATCGACTTGAATCGATTTTTAATTGACACAAATTTTAATAAATAAAAAAATACAAATTTTAATCGATTCGAATCAAATTTTAATTGATGCTAGCAACTCAAGTAAAGCTTAAATCGGTTCGAATTTTAATATGTAATAAAAATTAATAGGTACAAATTTTAATACATAAAAAAAATTAAATCGGCTCAAATTTTAATACGTAAAAAAACGAAATTTAATATGTAGAAAAATATATTTTAATAGACTATAATTTTAATCGAAATTTATGTAGAGAGATTATTTGGAATTTATGTAGGGCAATTTTGGTATTTTAGATGAATTTTTTTTTTGTTAGAAATATTGGTTTAACAATAGGGGGTGTCAGCAATATTTAAATATAAATTATAAAAGGTGTCAGTTATGTTTGAAATAATAGAGAGAGTTTTATTGAAAATATGTTTAGGAGTGTGAATAATAATTACCCTTTATAAATTAGTGTTAAACGAATTGTGTCATATCAAATTTGTGTTATATATAAATTAAATATAACAAGTATATAAATGGGACATAAAATATATTTTTTTGATTAGTTTTACATTTATTAGTCGTCTCGTGTTAGATTCATACATTTACGAAACAAATGATTTAAAAAGAATTTAAATCCTTTAATTTTATATCATGTTTGTGTTGCGCTAACGAAACGTACTATATTTACTATATTTTGATAGTAAATAATCCATAAGCTACCAGATACGCAAGTTTGCAACTGATATGGGATACAAGAGCGGTTCAATTGTTTTTAACACAATTTACACTCTAGTTAGTCACTTACCCAATACCATATACACAAAAGTTAGGTCCTTTCGAAGTGGATTGTGGACTATAAGTTTATAATGTCTGAGACTATCTGATTATGTGCATCTGCTGTTAAGTAAGTGAGTAACTTGTACGCAAATTATGCATGTGTTGTGTTCGAAAAAAAAAAAGGATAAAGAATCCATAGAGAATCTGTTTTATTTGACTAATTGGGTGACTGTTGCTTGCATGAATCTACTGAGGCTTATTTCTTAAAAGGAAAAAATGGTAAGGAAATCTGAATCTAGGTATTTGTAAATTGTATATTTATTTCTCATACTATTGTATTCATTTTTTTTTAACTGAACAACTCAGTCACGCAATCCGCATGTATTGATTAGGTGATCGAACAAACAATGAGACATAAACTCACATGTTCGAGTTCAAGTCATCGGGATGCATAAAATTAGATTTTAACACGTGGTTTGGGAATGATCTTATGGATTCAAATTTTGCGTCGTAGCTGTTAGTCCAAAAAACACGGGGCTATGAATAGTTCCTATTACCATGGCAAAAGTCACTTACAAAGGGAGAACAAGAAGCTAGAAAGCACATATATAAATATAGGAAACAATGATATGGTATTTATAAAAGAATTAGTTATTATTTGTGCCTGAGGTACAGAGTAATAAAAAAAATATCAACAATAAATATAATTGTATTCACATTTAAAATTAAATCATAAATATAGAGGAAAGAAAGATGAATTTAAACATTGGTTATAGTAGGAGTGAGTGATGATAGTGATGGTGGTGGTGAAGTTGGTGATGGTCGTGAGGGGTGGTGGTGAGGCAATAGGGGTAGCGATAGTAGGGGTGATGGTTGGACAGTGACGGTGGTGGTAAGGTGGTGTTGGGGTGGAGGTGACGGTTGAGGTGGTGTTGGGGTGGAGGTGACGGTTGTAGTGGTGATGGTGGTGGTGGAAGGTAGTGGGGATGGTGGTGGTCAGGCAGTAGGGGGTGGTGGTGGGGTGGCGGTAGTAGTAATGGTGATGGTGGTGATAGTGAGGGCACTGGTAGTAATAGAGGTTGTTGTAACAGCGGTGGTGGGGGGTGGCGGCGACGGTTGTAAGACAGTGGCGGTGGTGGGGTGGTGGATTGACAATGGTGATGGTGGTGGGGTGGTGGCAACAGTAGTGATGGTAAGGGGTGGTATGATGACGATAGCGATGGTGGTTGTAAGGGGCGAGAGGCGGTGGTAGTAGTGATGGTGGTGAGATGACAATAGTGGAGGTGGTAGTGGTAGTGGTGATGATGGTGGGGGGTAGTTTGGTGGTGGGGTGGGTGGCAGTGGTGGCGGTAATGGTAATTTTGGTGGGGGTGGTGGTGGTAGTGGTGATGGTAGTGGTGGTGGGGCGGTGAAGGTGATGGTGGTAGTAGTGGTGGTGAGGTGGTTCCAAACACCTATTTTTTTTAAAAAATATTTATGAGAAATTATAAGTAATAAAAACACTTTTAAAAGTCATCACAAACACACCCTTAGGGACCTATTTTTCCGATTAAATTTAGAGTGTTAATATTAGCCATCGGATTAACTTTAAAGAAAAATTAAAAAATATTTTCACCGCGAATAATAAAAGTCATGTTATTTATTATTTGATATTTGAATTGTATTGTACTTTATTATATAGATTAAAGACAGATTCGGTTAGGATAGGTATATAATAGAAAAAATTTCAATATTTTTCTACAATTTGATGAAAATTTATAATTTTCAATAATTTTTTTAACAACAATACCAAAAATTAATAAATTTTGACTTTTGAGGAAGTATAGATCGTCTCATTATGATAATTACAACAAAGAGAAGTTATTAATTAAAGGAATGAGAACTAGCATTTAACTAGTTAATTTAGTTAGAAGTAATTGTTATCAAGACATATGTTATAGTTAAATCATTGTATACTCGTTTGATCTATAATAAAAAATAATACATAAGAAACACTCATACGCCTTCAAAGTTCTATGAAATTTTTATTTATGTGTTACCCTGTATGTAAATTCAAAAGAAAAATAAAAAGATTAATTTTAATTTAATCTAGTAATAATATAATATTAAATTTGAATGACATTATAGCAACCCAATTTTAATTTTAATTAATCTCGACCTGGTCACTATTGCCATTTAACAATTAATATTAGGTAGTAATGAATATCATGTAATAGGTGATATTATTTTTAACAAGTTAAGTA